CCCTGTCAGAGCTGGTGGGGCGGCACTATGGGCTGGAGCTGCGCCGTCTGCACCCCGCACTCTACAACGTGGTGCCAGCCAGTGAGTGCTGCACGCCCGCCATGCTCTTCCCTGCTGCCTCTGCCCGCCGGGCCTCAGAATACCTGCAGGGGCTGCGCTGCCGCCAGGGCTTCGCCAAGGACACTGCCCTCTACTCGCTGCTGCGGGGCAAGGGCGAGAACGCCTTTGTGGTGGAGCCCAACCTGGTGCGGCACGTGGGGATGTACTCCAGCCTCCGACTGAACAGCAACCCAAAACTGCTGTGAGCTGCTCCTGCCTTGCCACACAAAAAACACCCAGGACACTTGCCATGGGCTGAGGAACAGTGTGCAGACTTGCATTCTGTGCTGCTTGCACTGGGCATCCTGTGTCTGTATGTGGACAGAGAATAACTCTTTCTAAAATGACAAGTTTTCTTAAAAAAATCAGCCTATGTACATTCAGACCCTGTTTAGTATGAACTTTGAACTAATCACCATGCACCACCTGGGAGAGGAGTGGAGGATTCCAGCCCAATCTCCTTAGCCGTTTCCAAAGAAAAGCTCTCACATCAACATGCACAGCTTTCCTGCCTACTCTCCTGAACAGTGGTTACAAAAATTCTTGCCTTAGGACAGCAAAAATGTTGGACAAAGTGAATGTTTCAAATTCAAGCTAATGAGGAGGGAAAGGGCTTATTTCCCCATCCTTACTAAGGTCTGATCTTTGACCTGTCTCTGCTCCAAAGCTGTGGTTTTGAGCAGACCTTCAAAAGCAGAAGTGGTTTGCAGGAACTTTCCCACAAATTCTGCCTAGATTCTTCAAATTGATGAAGTCTCTTTAGTTGCTGTCTCCCTGTCTACACCTCCACCATTCCCACTTCTTTTGCTTCCACCTGAGGCTTTTAAATGCAAAACCTCTGCTGCCTATTGAAGGTCATCTCTGGGAGTTGGGATAGGAAAACAGAATCACAGCCACTGGTGTCACACTGATGGGTCAGAAATGCACATTTTCATTGATACATGACACACATTGTACATAATGATTGCTGTGTTGGTGAGGATCATCACTCATTGTACTGGCTCCATTAAGAAAGGTTTTATCAACCACTGAGTGAATTTATCCATTCAACATGAATTTACCTTGACTTTCCCTCAGTACAGAGACAAATGAAGACTAGATCTGTGCTAAATAGGTGCTGTTGTTGTGCAAGATCCTTGTTCATTCTGGAGCTGTAATTCGCAGCTCAGTTGGAGTGGTTCATTCACTTCTCCTGGCAGAAAGCAAAATACCTGTGGGAAACAAAGACAGCTGTTCACAAGAAGCTGTTCACAAGAGCAAGCAACAATAGCACAGCACATCAAAGGGCCACTCTGACAGTGATTGTGTGTCCTGGTTGTTAGGTATCTGGGATAGGTACTTTATACCAGGGCTGTGGGCACAGTTAAATATAAAACCTTGCAGATGACAAGAGACCTCATACTGAATGAAAACAGGCAAAAATTTGGTATATCTGATGAAAGGCCCAGTTTGGCTTTAGTGAGCTTTGAATCAAATTCACTTTGAGGTGGCATTTGGTTGAACTATTTTTAAAACCATATTCCTCCCTTTGGAATGAACCAAATAAGTATTTTTTGTTGAGTTTAATCAGTGGGAGTTGTTTGGGTTTTCCTTTTTGGTAATCGAAGGGCTTTGCTTTGAATTTTCTTCTCCCAGCTCTCTTCCAGGTGATTTATGCCTTATTATCTTAACAAGTTTGGTTCTAGGTGAGAAATACCTAAAACTCCTGAGAGATGAAACCAAAGAAAATGGTAACCCTCAGCACAGTGGGTATCAGTTACCCAGAACAAAGGCACAGTGCAGTTAGCTGAGAAACAGCATCACAGCAGTGCTTTGCTCTCCAGTGTTACGGTACATGGCGCAACAAGATCCCAGAGAGCGACCTGCATCTCTGAGCTCAGAGCACACTGTAGAAAATGCTGATGATTTAAGACAAAGGGATGGGTTCTCATTTAGCAGTCTGACAACTGGTTTATTGAAGAGCACAGCCTCAAATAGGGACGAGAACCAAGGAATGGGCTAAGGGCACAGGGTTAAATGAGGGGCAAAAGGGGCAGATATGAGGGTCAAGGTCCAACAGGGACAAGGGAAAGTGGTGCAGGGAAGTGGCTAAAGAGTAGGAGAACCAAGGGGATAACAGGTGGAACAATGCAGCAGAACAGAGCCAGTGGGGATTAAGGGAAGGAAGAACATTCTAGGAAGGGTACATTAATGGTAAACAGGGGCTGAACAAGGGTGACATCAATCCCCACACACTATCAGAACACCAGAACCCAAAAGGCACCAACATGTGGTTGCAAACGGCCCATGGAAGGGAGGCCTTTCCTTACTGTATTCTAGAGGGGCATCTCTCCCCTTTTGTCTCTGCCCCTCCAGGGCTGAGGTAGGACCACCCTGGTGGCAGACCCCTGGGCCTCCACACTCCAGTAATCAGCTGGATACTTCTAGAGCACCTTTGGAAATTAGAGTGAGTAAAAACTGCTTGTGGGTTCCATGCCATTCCAAAGGCAAGGCCTTTAGGCCTCCTGGCAGAGAACAGCAGAAGAATGGCACAGTCAAAACCACATTTTGTTCTCAGCTGCTGAAAGCCCTGGAGATGCCAGGGTAGTCACACAGTGGCAGGTGGGCAAATCTCTCCTCTGGCTTCACTGCCGTGGGGTTTGGGTGTCAGGATTTTAGTGTCACTGTGTATTTACTCCACCAAGTGCCTGCATATACACCTGGTTTCTGTATCTTTAGCTGTGAATGTTTTGGTGCTGTGGGCTTGCTCTTCTCTCTTTTATATCTTTATACTGTATAAATCCAGGACAATGCTCTGTTCTTTTCGTTCATACTCATTCTTGCCTTAGAAAATGTCACAGCAAGAAATGGGACAAGCAATGGAAAAAGGAAGAGGGGAAGGCAAGCAAGCAAACAAGCAAGAAGCTGTATCCTGTAAATAAATGTTTTGGTGTGGGGAAATGATTTATCCATTTGTCTCGAAGTTATTTTCCTGCTTGTCCAGTTTTACATGCAGTTGTGGATTGGACAGAAATCATGACTCGAGTCCTCTCTTAATCATCTGACAAACTGCCTGTTTTATTCTTTGGAACCTACTTGTATAGTCGGTTCAAAACTCCTGCATCTAGGTAATTGACTGGTTGAGGTTTTAGCACTGCCCAGCTCCTTGACCAATGATATGTCTTCTTCCTGGACTGAACATGACTGGCTGAGGTCCCTGCTTGGGTCTGAATCCAACTCATCCCTGCCCCATCTGATGATGTGTTTTACTTCTAGGCTGGTTGAATTTGGGGGTCTGGTATGGCCAAATTTATTTGGCAGCTATAATCTAGCTTCAACAGTGACAATCCAGTAGTACTTAATTTGACATTTCAAAAGTCCAGGAGAGGTCAATAATTTCACTAAGCCTCATAGCTGAAAATTAACATGAATTTAAGGCATCCCTTCTAAACTAGAAGACAATTCTCATGGCATAAGAGGTGGCAGAATTTGACTGTGAGACCAAACAATGTGCAGAGGGCTCAGGGCTTGAACCTATCATTGTGAGAGTTTCAGATAAATCAGCTGAGAACAAACTCCTTTGTGCAAGAAGCAGGTTAATAAATTCTTTATGTCCTTCTGGGACAATTTTCTGAAGTTCACAAGTCACTTTTACAGCAGAGGTGCTGCTTTTCTGACCCTGCAGGGAGGTGTTCTGAGTTACTCAGTTACTTGCAGTGGCCACCCTGCCAATGGGGCATCCCAGGAAAGGCCTCCTGCTCCTGCCTTCCAGTCTTCCACAAGCAGATTGAGTCTTGTTTCACTTTTCTGTGCTGCATGTTTTACTAGAAATTAGAAGTCAGAGAAGTGCACATCACCTTCAGAACAGAGAATGGGAAACTACCATGAATTCTTAATTCTTGTTGGATTTTGTTCTGCAGCTCAGGCTAAAAATGCAGTTTCAAGCACCCCAAAGCCTTTTCCCGCTTTTCTCTGAGGGGAGTGGAGCTGAGTTGCCCCATCTCAGACTACAGAAGTTCAAAGCACAGTATTAGCTCCCTGAAATGTGTCCTTAAGAGCTTTGTTTCTTTCACTTTAAACAAACTTCATGACTATTTTTGAAACAAACAGGATGGATTTTCTTGGGTGTTAGCTCATTCCCAATGGTTTGGAGAATATTCTTCAATGCAGCAGCTGTTGCTTGCACAAGAGGAGACTTTCTGGATGGGCCATCAGCAGGACCCAAGGCTTTATTGTCCAGGACAGTTCAGGCAGAGTTATTAACTTAAACAAAAACTAGATTTGTTTCCAAAGCATGTCCAGCATAAGCATGATGCCAGCAGAACACAGGGCATAAACTGACAGGTGTCTACTAAATTAGAAGTTTAAGAGGATTTTCTAATTCCAGCAGGCATCAATGTCTTAGTGAGAAGGAACTGCATTTGAAGAGAGAAAAGCCTTCCTTCCTATGGTGAGGAGCTGTGAATCACCAGATTGGGTATTTCAGCAGCAATACTGGATTATCCAGAAATTGTCTGGATATAGTCTGAATTGGTTTTTATTTTTAATAAAGTTATTTACAAGCAAACTTTCTACAAAATAAACAACCTCTCTGTAAAAACTCTATTAATAGTCTCATCTTTCTGCATCTCCCTGTTTGTTTTCCTGATTGGCAGATCCATCTTTCCTTACCATATTTGACAGACAAAGATACTCCCATATTCATGAATTAGTACAGATAATTATAATTTTGATCCAACACAACTCAAAGCAGGTCTTATTAGACCAGGTTTCTCAGGCCCTTCTCCAGTCAAAATTGAGGCATTTTAACAGAGACATGATGTAAAATCAAGCGCTGAGTGGTGAAATTTACTTTTGTATAGAGAGGGTACATATTTCACAAAATAAAAAAGGTAATTTTTTGTGAGAGACAGTTGCAGTTGCATAGTAACTTTGTAGTTATGAAAGCATTGGGAGTCAGAGTTTAATTTTGTGTATTTTCACACCAGCTTTACAGACATTGTATCCAAATTTAGCAGATGGCAGGGCCCACCCTGAATAATATTCAGTAAAACACACGCCTTCCAAAAATGCGTAGAGAATTAGGTACTCCGTGGTCCGTGCTTCTTCACTGCATGTCTCCATTCTGGAGTAACTTAATTTCCACTGATTATCTGTCCTGACAGCTTGGGGAGAATCCATCCCATCAGCCAGTTTATCCATGTACCTACTGGCTAAGGGTCAGCAACATCAATGTCCCTTCCCATGACTTTGTTCTTCATGGCATGTTAGAAATGCCATATTGGTGTCTAGGAGGGTAGGAACAACAGTGATTTTTAAAAGCTGATGAAGAGTTACATTTTATTGTCCTGTTTGTAAGCCTCTGGGCAGCTGTGCCTACTTTCTCTTAGAATTTCTGCCTTGGTGTCCAGTGTTCTTAGATAGAAACCACATCTACATATGGTCTTTTCAGCAAGCTGGTCCAGTTCAGACACCTGTTGTGGTTTGTATTTTGCAAACTTAATACAAATATTAACATGCAGCACCTAATTGTGCTTTTTTGGGGGACCATGTGCTGCTCAGATAAACAGGTAATAAACAGTTAAATGTCTCCCTTCATAGAAGCCAAGTTGTTTGCCTTCTTGCTTTATTGAAAAACAAAATGTCAACAGAAAGGCACAGAGACCAATGTCATGACAGCATTTACCTTTATGACCTGTTACACCTTTTCTCACAGCACAGGAACGTTGCCACAGGCAGCTCGATTTAAAGTTGTATCCTACTGGGTATTTCAGCAGCACTGTTGAAATTAGTGCAAAGATCTGTGTTTTGGTAACAGCAGTGTTGCATGCTTTCCTGTTTTTCATTCCAAGTCATGATGTTTGTTGCAGACATTCAGCTTTAAGTTGCACAGAATGCAGAACAAAGCAAAACCTTCCTTGTGCAATCTCCTTGGTGTTCTGAGTCTGTTTTGCCCAACACTGCCCGCTGCCCCCCTCCCACCCCCCCCGATGTAGTTGTCTGCAGACTCTGCTGACAAGCCGAAAATACAGGGGTATTTCTTCCA